TTTTTTCTATTAAATTGATTTTTTTATTGCATTAGTAAAAAACAATTTTTATCGTGGTAATTTGGATTTTTTCGAAAAATCTTCAATTTGATATCTAAATTTAGAAAAAACGAGATTTGAAATGAAAAATATATTTTATTGCATTAATTTTTTAAAAGAAATGAATTTTAGTTATTTTTCTATAATTATTTTGCAAGTTGGTTTCCCAAAATAGGAATCAGATGCAAGTTGGTTCCCCAAAATGACAATTTTGAAAGTTGGTTCCCCAAAATAGGAATCAGATGCAAGTTGGTTCCCCAAAATGACGATTTTGAAAGTTGGTTCCCCAAAATAGGAATCAGGTCCAAGTTGGTTCCCCAAAATGACGATTTTGAAAGTTGGTTCCCCAAAATAGGAATCAGGTGAAAGTTGGTTCCCCAAAATAAAAATCAAGTGAAAGTTGGTTCCCCAAAATAGGAATCAGGTGAAAGTTAGTTCCCCAAAATAAAAATCAAGTGAAAGTTGGTTCCCCAAAATAGGAATCAGGTGAAAGTTGGTTCCATTTTGTTACAATTTTTCCTAGTAAGATTGGATATTTGGATGTGTTTTAAATGGAGTTGGTTGTTGGAATTTACACTTTTAGCCTTAAAAGGATGCACGTGTTTTGCACGGGCTATCTAGCTCTATAATGTTTTACATACATGGGTTTTGTAAAACTAGAAGCGTACTCGTGTAATGCAGCAAGATATATCGTGATTTTAATATTTCATTTTATTYATTATCTCAGTTGATGTCATAATATGACTTTATGTGATTTTGAGAAAACGATGATGTTTTTATTTTTGAATAAAATATATGTTTGAAGATATCATAAAAATTTGACAAAAATRTATCGATATTAGTATCAAATTAACTATTTGAAATTCTTCATTTTTTTGTGTAATTTTTTAATTCAATTTTTTTATAATTTAATTTATGTATAATAACGAAGTAATTTATATTTGGTTTAATAATATAATTTTTTTATAAAGATAACAATTATTTATTTTGGTGGAACTCGATAATTATTCTAATTATATTTTAAATTTTTTATATTTTAAAATGAGATGTTCATCATCTATTTGATTATGTTTATTCGCAGTTATTTATATGAATTCAAACATCGAGCTTTAATAAGTTGTACTTATGCATAATTACTTGTAATCTTGAATTTTAAGTAATATGCATCAATATACAGTACTTTATGCAT